GAGGATGAAAACCCAATGGATCAAGAAAACAATTCAATTTCAATAAGACAGTATGTACATCTTTGTGAGCTCCTTGAGAGCAAAAGGGGCCTGTTGTTTGTCTCTAATAGTTTCAGCACATTACCTGGCACAGGGCAAGCTGTTTAAATGAATCAACAAGTGATTGGATGATAAATGAATCACTTGTTGATTCATTTAAACAGCCTGCCCTGTGCTAGGCAATGTGCTGAACTGGCAAAAACAAATAGAGGTTCTAAGGTCATATGTGGGACTGATTGGGTTTGTGGGGGTGGGCTGATGTTTGGATAAGGGCAGAGCTTTTTACAATTCATGGCAGAGAAAGGAAGGTAGAGACCTGGTGTGAGCCCAGAGGGAGCTCACACTCAGATCACATACTCAGATCCCTGCAATATTCTCTAGCTGCTGCTATTAGAGAAGAAATGTGATTGACAATAAGAGTCAAGTGACACCTCTGAAGAAAAACTCTCCACTACCAGCAAGAGTCTTGCTGGACAAAACAATGTCAGATAAGGGACCATGAGAAAAAAAACAGGAAGGAGGAGGGAAAAATAAATTTTAAATAAAAGGAGGGGACAGCGCAAGAGGAGCTGAGGCAGAGGCCTGTGGGGGAAACAGGTGTCAGTTCTGGGGAATGGAGAGGCATTAAAGCTGAGGGTAGAATGAGGGATGAGGAGGGAGGGATAGGTCAGATAAACATCTATGAAACAAAACCCCCACCACAGATAACAAGTACAAAAGAGCCCATTTTCTCTTCTTGAGAAAGACAAAGAGAATTTTAAGTAGGATTAAGTCCTGGTAGCTTTCAGAACTCAGCAGCTCTCAGAAGCAATAATAACTACATAAATAGCTAAGTGGATGGTAGGAATTACCTCACTTGGAATTTGGCCAGCATATCAAAAGTTAGCACTACAATCACATCTTTCTGAAAGCTTTCCTGAGATTCTAGGGGGGAAGTCATCTTAGAAAACTGTCAGAACGGAATTAATGTTAGGAAGAGGATGCTCCTCACTGCTTGAAGATGTTCTGTCTCCCGAAAATTAATAAGACAGAAGCCCTACCCTGCTGGGAAGCACTCTCTTATCCATGTAAATATACTGCCAGCATTGCCCCCAGTGGAAGCAAATAAGTACAATCACAGATTACAATGGCCTAATGTAAAATCCTACTCAACAAATAAAACTATAAATGATGTTCCAAATGCAGAGGAAAAGGGCCTTGTAGACATCTTGTTCCCAGAGAGCTCCTTTTCCTGAGTATAAGTGGTTAAGCATGGACTTTTCCAGATAAATTCACAATTATATCAACCTCAGGACACCTCTTCTAATAAATAGCCTATTTTTTCTCTTAAGTGTGTATGTTTAACCACCAACATGCTAGATCACTTTCCCTCCTTCCCC